TAAAATGAAAGAAAAAAGAAACTTAAAGAGGATGTGCATGGGCATCGATAATGGGTCAGTTGGAACTTGGGCTGGCCATATTGGGAGGTTCCAAAATCAAAAAAGAAAGCCCAAGCAGTTGAATTCAGACTCCAAGCCCAAGTGGGGAAGGCTTGGGCACTGAAAAACGATAGCGTTAACTTGGTAGTTAGCTTACCCTTAAAGGTTGGACAATTAACCTAAATAACCACTTTATTTTACTCTTAGAAAAACAGGCTAAAGATTTTTATTTTAATATACAAAATTAAATTACATGTTTATTCGTTTCAATTTTAAGTTTGTGTTTAGAAGGTCCCACCCTAAATTTCTAATAAATTTTCTACTTTGTATCTTTATGGGTATTAAGTCTGTAAACTTTAAAAAATTTCTAATAAATCTCTATTAAAATTTTTCATTTGTATCTAATATGCCCTTGACTTATTTAATATTTCAAAAATTCACTGATGAGATTGAAAATTTAAAGTTTTATTTGGCATTTTAATAGATCTGTTGATTTTATTTTATTTTATTTTATTTTCATATGTCAAGACTTTATTAAATATAATATTGAAAGTTCATGAACTACACTTTCTTTTAAAATTTAAGAACCTATTAAACATAAAATTGAAAATTCAAGGATTTGTTAGATAGATTTTTAAATCCAACAATTTATTAGATACAAAATTAAAAATTTGTAATTTAATCTATAAAAATAGTCATCATCACATCAAAACTCACATATTTTATTATGAAAAGACAAAATAACATTTTGTACACCTTTTACAATTTATTTTTCTTAAAATTTAAAATTTGAATAAAAATATATTATGAACACACTCAAATGGTACTTATGGTACTTTTCAGTAAAAATTAAAAAAATGTGGTTGTTGGGATTCGAGCCCAGGTCTCCATGGCCACAACGTGGAATTCGTTGTTTGAGTTATGTTAACATATATTTATTGATTTCCTAATGGTTAGAATCACATTAAAATTAATTGATCCTACAGCTACACCACATCGCGATTTCTTCGTCGGTACGTACAGAGTTTCATACTCTCCAATTCCTTAATTATGCGAAAATTTTCTCTGTTTGACTTGCTTTTTGGAGGTACCMAGAGATAAAATTCGCTCTTTACGTTTTCTCATTGTCTAACGAGTTGAGACTGCCAGTAATCACACGGTCTATTGTACTCAATTCTAGTTCGAACTTAGTTTCAATTTGTTCTCTATTTTGATTTAACTTCAATTTAGTCYCTAAAGTCTTAAAATTAGTTCAACTAAACCTTATCAATCATCCTTAAATTGTTTTYTACTCATTTGAAAATTATCTATTTTTTTTCCTATTTTACCCAACCCTACACGACTATACCCTARTCCAAAAAAATAAGCTAACTTTCGCGTAAATAGAAAATGTGTCGTATACTCAATATGTTAACATTTGTTACAGCAAGTACGGTGATATTCAAGCGGAAATTATTTAATAATTTTCGGTAATTTATGGCTTATTTATGTGCATAACTCATGTTTTTATAGGATCAAGTCATTAAAAAGAATTGGAGCATAAGCGATCAATTGAGGGGAAAACTAGAGTGAAAAAGAGAAGCGCCATGGCGCCTGCAGGTCAGAATTGGGAGCAAAATCTCAAAGAAGCAGTGCCACAACGCTGGTACACAGCGCCATGGCGCCCTGCAGACGAAGCTTGGGCCTCTTTCCGCGATGACAGCGCCGCAACGCTGTATTGTAGCGCCATGGCACTACGAACTTGCACGTCCATCGCAAATTTGGGACAGCGTCATGGCGCTCACTAATGGTGTCATGGCGCTGTAGCGATGCCCTCACATAAGTAAAATATGAGTGCGCCGTTTTTGGGGACTTTTAAGGATTCTCACATTGGAGAATTGGAATTTGCAGAGGATTGCCTCGAGATTTGAAGCAAGAATGGCGAAGAGACGATTTTCGAAGGCTCGTGATCGTGGAGATTGAGTCGGGGAGGTCAATCGACACTATGACTTTAGTTTCTCTCCTTTCCCTTATCTTTTCTAGATTTATTATGAAATTCTTTGTGGGATTTCATTGTTTTTTTGGTGAACATGAGTAGCTAATCTTCTTGTTTTAGGGATTGACGTAGCCGTTTGATTTATGAGTTGGATTTATTAACAATTGTCTTGATTGCTTTGTTTTTAATCTATTTGTACATTTATTTGCTTAATGCTTTTAATCTCTTAGAGGTGGTTTAAATTGGAACCTGAATACATAACTGCGGTAGTTCTAAGATAGGGAGATTTAGAATTATCTTAGAGGTTGTTAAAAGACTAAGACTTAAGGCCCTACTTGTTAATGAAACTAGATAGGGATATTGGTTTCTTAATAAGTGGGAGAATTAATTGTGTTCGGGGGAGACAGTTATAATTTTTGATTTCTTTACTTATAGATTCAATCTTGGCATGTTTAATTTGTCCGCTTGTAGGTTCAGTTGGTGAAATCACTTCCCTATGACCCATTCTCCATAAGAGTTTTCTTTAGAGTTTTTTACTCGCTTTGTTATTTGATTTTTGTGTGTCAAAAGAAATTCCTGATAGTTTCTCTAGATAAAAGTGCACATTAATATCTGTAGTACTTGAGTGACTAAAAACCCAATCSAGTGGACGATATCGGTAATTACTTACCACTTTTATCAAAACTTGACCCGTATACTKGCGGTAAACATTTTCTGCTACAAGTTTTTTGCGCCGTTGTTGGAGATTGACAATTATTTAGTTTCACTTGATACTGTGTAGAATTTGTTTGATCTTACTTTAGAGTTGTTTTTAATTCTTGTGTCTTAGGGAGTTGATTTGTATGCGCATGGACAAAGACGCAGTTTTAGTCCCTTTTGAACCTAAAATTGAGAAAACCTGTAAAAGAAATTGAAACTTTTAAACCTATGGAAGTCATATTGAAACTAAGTTCAGACCATGGGATCAAATTGAAACTAAGCTTAAATCATAGGACCAAAATTGTAACTTACCGGAACTTGTAACTATATTATTCCAAAGTGGTAGAGCTTGCTTAATTGTGTTGGCCTTAGGTACTTGAAGGAGGATAAACCACATGGCTCAGCAGAGGGGATTATATTTATTACTTCAGAGATTAAAACTTGAAGACAGCCCGGTTTGTAATCTTTTGCACTTTCTGTAACTCATGTTGTGTTATATGGAGTATCAGGACAGTGTGTTTGTGCTTCTCAATCTTCAAGAAATAAACTTCTTCATATATAAGTTCTCACATATGTGGTTATGTATGTCTTTGCACTCGTACATCTTTCTACTAAATTATGACGTTTGCTGCAATTTTCCACTTCCAGACATGCTTGGTTAGTTTCATAACTTGTAATCTTTTATAGGAACTGATTTAACTTAATTATTCATATCAGAATATCTCGAAGAGTCTGAATAATAAAGAAAAGTTGAATTACTCGGAGATCAAACTATTGAATTARAAAATCGTTTTGAACATAGATTTCAAATAATAATGATTGAGATGATGCATAAAAAGTATTAAAGTAGGATTACAAAATTTAAGTATAATATCAAAAAATGTGAATTTCTTTTGCTTTAAGGATTTGGAGTATTTGTATTAGTTGAATTAGTTTTAGATAGGTCGTGATGGTCTACTTGATTGTTGATGCTTTTGCAGTAATGCCCGTACCTGAGGGGTGTATTGTCCCCATATCTATACATATGCAACAGAATTATAGTTTGGTAGAACTTGCGTCTCATGTGACTTGAATCAAAGACTTCAAAATTATTCTTTGAGGTTYTCAGTCATCCAAGTCATCCAAACTATCCTTAGCTACATTAACTCCCAATTTTGTTAATTTTTATATTACTGGATGTTTTTATTTTTCTTTTTTTTTTCCAATCCTAACTGTTCTCCGTCTGCTGATATTTGGTCCAAAATGGCAGAGAGGCAATATTAAGTTGTATTATTATGTAAATATTAAAAAATTGGCACATGTTGGGGGAGGGGGATGGATGTTGTTTGGGTGAATTATTTGAATAATTCATAAGCTTTTTTGATATACTATTGTTTATTTGGTAATCTAATAGTTTTATTAACCTATTTAGTCAAAACTTAAATCACATACCTCTCAATTATTGACGGTACAGTTCACATGAATGAGGACCAGATTATTGTGCAGGTCTTTGGATTAAAGAACAGGTTTTGAGTATTTGTATTAGTTAAATTAGTTTTAGAAARACTGTGACGGTCTAATTCTGGATTGTTGAATACTTTTACAATAATTATTTATTGATTTTTCTAATTCTGGATTGTTGAATACTTTTACAATAATTATTTATTGATTTTTGAGTACAATAAGTGGAGGTATGGGAGATTCAAACTATTTTAAATATTGATTGTGGTAAATAATATTTTAGTTGCGTTGGATATAGTCTAGTAGTTATAAATTTTAACGAGAAAAAATAATTTAATTTTTCTAAAAGAATTTAGTATCAATCTCGAATGCTATTGATTTCTACTTGGTTTTTTTTTTAAAGATTTACAAATGTCAATAAAGAAATTTCTTTAAAGGTTTAAAAGTTGTTGAGAATATGTTTGAAAAACAATAGAAACTTTCGTAAAGGAAGTATTTGAGACCATTATCGAAAATTTGTAACATTTGAAAATATTACTTTTTCCTGGTTAATTCAACTTCAGGAAAATATGTATTTTCGAAGGTTAACYGAAGCTTTTAAATTTGTTCTTTTTAAGGTTTATTTGATGTTTTTTCCAACCTTTGAAAACACTCTATTTAAAGTAAGTTTTAAAATCATTATCGAGAAAATTTGGCTCTCCTGATTGGTRAAGAACCACGTTAAATGTTTGAGACTTTGTTGTTTTTAAATTAAATATTTATTTATTTTTTAATTGTCAGGTAGTAAAGATAAGACTGTTCTGGAGACAAATTTTATCCTCTACGTAATTTATGACATATTTTTATTGATATTATCCGTAGGAAGAACACCACCGAATGGAAATGGAAATGGAAATGGAAGCTCCTCTTCCTCCTCACGTTCTGATCTTTCCCCTTCCCCTTCAAGGCCACATCAACTCCATGCTGAAGCTGGCCGAGGTTCTCTCCCTCGCCGGCATCCGCGTCACTTTCCTCAACACCCACCACTCCCACCGCCACCTCACCCACAACTCCGATGTCCACGCCCACTTCTCCCGCTTCCCCGGATTCCGCTTCGCCACCATCACCGACGGCCTTCCGCCGGCCCACCTCCGCACCTTCCACCACTTCTTCCACCTCGTCACCTCCTTCGACGCCGTCACCAAGCCCCTCTTCCGCCACATGCTCGTCTCCGGCCATTTCGGCTCCGACCTCACCTGTGTTATCCTCGATGGGTTCTTTAAGTTTCTTGTCGACGCAGACGACGATGGTGTTCGAATTCCCATTTTGGGGTTCCGTACGGTCAGTGCTTGTTCCATCTGGGCTTATCTTTCTGTTCCTGATCTTATCCAGGATGGCCAACTTCCTATTAGAGGTGCGCTTGTTCTAATTACTTCTTAATTACGCTCTTTTCGAAATTAACAAATTGAAAGGAAGATTACGGTGTTGTTTGGGCTTTTTGTGGCATCCTTAGAACTAATTTGAAGTGATGCCCAAACGTCAACTATTAGGAAACACTTTTCGGAACTAAGAGATGTGTTGATGCTGTAATTTGACCGACCGAGATCATCTACAAATAGGTCTGGGTTGATACAGCTTCAACTCATCCATTGGGAACTACTAACCTACATCTCTAAACTCTGTTTGGGAGTAACAATATTATATAATTGATCTTTTAAAATAATCATTCAAGTGATTTTAAATTTTCCTAAAATAAATTTTTTAATTTACTAAAAAATTAAGTGATTTTTGATAATTACAAAAGTGATTTTGGAAAATAACTCCCAGACACCACCTAAACTAGGTGAAGTTGCATGCTGCAAGTATATTGCCTTATTGATAGGAATATGGCACCAAGGCCCACCCCATCAAGAGCTACCCTAGTGATTAGGCCGAGTTCAATTTTTTATTTGGTCTTAGGTGATGAGCTCGTCATTTGAGCTGATGACAGCTCGAACTTGACAACGTACGAAGTTCTAACATCATCTTTGAGCCAACTTACTCTCTTTTAGTCGGCTCATCCATAACAAACCTACTAATTTCTTAGAAGAAAGATCCATAAATATAAGCTTTTTTTTGGATTCTATCAATAATATTATATATTTAATATATGAATTAAATTTACGTAATCCATCCGTTTAAATTTTTGGATTGAGTGGTAATTTTTTGGATTGAGTGGTAATTTATTTATTATTGACATGGTATCAATGCACGAATTCCGGTACATTATCGTTTTCTCCTGCTTTATCATGATTTTCACTTGTGTTTGTTCAACTTTCTTCCAAACCCACGAATGAGATTGAGTACTTCTGAATTGAGTGGTGGATGGGACATATATATATTTTAGCCGGCTATTCTAATAACTTACTGGTTTTCGTTTAATGATGTTGAATTTGTTGGTTTACAGGGGAGGAAGACATGGATAGAATGATAAGAAATGTGGCGGGAATGAAAAATGTTCTAAGATGCAGAGACCTTCCTGGCTTCTGCCGTGTGACAGACCCAAATGACCCTCTTCTCCAATTCCTTGTGAAACTCACCTTACGGAGCTCCGGATTCCACTCCCTCATATTGAACTCATTCGAAGATTTGGAAGCTCCGATTCTCTCCAAGATACGAACTTTATGCCCCAAGATGTACACTATCGGACCACTCCATGCTCTCCTCAAAGCCAAATCCGCGAACCAATCTCAACATCAGTCCTCCTTGAACAATCTGTGGGAGGTTGATCGGAGCTGCCTGGCGTGGCTGGACGCCCAGCCGCCGAACTCCGTTATCTACGTCAGCTTTGGAAGCATCACGGTCATGGGGGATCAGGAACTCATGGAGTTCTGGCACGGCTTGGTCAATAGCGGCACAAATTTCCTGTGGGTCATACGGCCCGACCTTGTAACCAGCAAAAATGGTAAGTGCGACGAAATTCCGGCGGAGTTGGAGGAGGGCACGAGAAAAAGAGGGTACATGGTGGGGTGGGCCCCGCAAGAGGAAGTGCTTTCCCACGGAGCGGTTGGCGGGTTCTTGACTCACAGTGGCTGGAACTCGACTTTGGAGGGCATCGCGGCCGGGAAGCCCATGATTTGCTGGCCATACGCTGCGGATCAGCAGGTGAACAGTAGATTTGTGAGCCATGTGTGGAAGGTGGGTCTGGATATGAAGGATGTGTGCGACAGAGAAACTGTGGCCAAAATGGTGAATGATCTGATGGTGAATAGGAGAGAGGAGTTCATGAGATCAGCGGCTAAATTTGCTAATTTGGCAAAGCAAAGTGTGAGCCCAGGTGGGTCATCCTATGCCGATTTTGACCGTTTGGTAGAAGATATTAGATTGCTTAGTCAACAGAAAAAAATAGAGACCTAATAATTCAGGGTTAAAGAATGATTATCATACACATGAAGTGTCGATGTCGATGAAAATATAGACGTCTTGATTTTATAAAAATATCTACATCGATAGATATATTTTTGAAAAAATTAATTTTTTTTGAATTAATAGATACAAACAAATGGAAATTATTTGAATTATTAGATTAAAGTTGAATATTTAATTATGTTTTATTGATAATTTATAATTAAATTTAGTAATTACATATATCATAGTTAAATTTAGTATTTAGTTACATAATTATATATGAAATATCAAAATATATATATATATATATATGATGAAATAATCTTTAAAAAATTGAAATATTTATTATATACGAGTGCAGTGCCGTGATAAATGAATTAGAACAAGTTGCTAGACATGATAATTAAGACTTTTTGGGGAAAAAAATCTCTTGTTTTTGTCCCACGTTGACAGATTTACAAATGTTAGAAGGGTTTCTGTAACAAACATCTTTTGTGTGGGTTTGTAAAAAGTAGGTGGACTTGAGTTCCAAAAAATCAGTGGTGTCACAATTATTGTGGTATGCAGTCGACACTATTCAATTTTCTTATATTAATAACTTACAGGTCTCGCATCAATTCAACATAATCAATATTGACATTGAAATTGATATTTAGATTAGACATTGATTAATGTCAAGATCGGTGAAGTTTTGCTTCATCCGTATTTCAAACTAACAAGACATCTGACATGAGGTTAGGAAGAATTGAAAATGGTGACAATAATTGCAATCGAATCAAAATTGATGTTTGGAGTATATTTGACAATATCTATTGTATATAATAACATATAAAAAATAATATTAAACCAATAAAAAAATTATTATATAAAAATAAAAATTATATTAAATTAGTGTCTAAATTATATGAATATGGACAAGTATATTTTTTAAATATTATGTAAATTTAAAACATTACAAGCAACAACTATTTTGTCACAACCCAGGACAAAGAAAACTTATTTCCTTTCGGTTAAACTCGAAGCTTCTAATAAATGCATACCCCCGACAAAAGAAAAAGCCGATTTGGTACGTTCTTAATTTTTTTTTTCATTTGTTGTAATTTTTGGTTTTAATTAGTTCCAAAACATAAATTAAAACATTGTTTTGTCATTCTTGATACGAATGTTGATACCATGAAATTCTATTTTTCTTGTTTAAAAAATAGAAACAAAAACCAAAAATCAGAAATGTTACCGGATGTGCTGTGAATGAATAAAAAATCAACTTAGACTAACTATGCAACAAGTCAATAAGAAGCATCATCAATCCATGGAATTGGGTGTCCAGGTAGTTCTGTAGAATTCTGTGAAGAACAAGGCAAAAAAGGGTAACAAAAGATGGCTTCTCATAATAACTCTTTAGCCAACCACACGGCAGCAAGAAAATTAACAATTGGAAGGAACTCATCATCAAATCAAAGCAAAACAAAGCAAAACTGAGAGCCAAAGGCCGTAGCGCACTCAAGTTGTGAGCTCCATTATGGCACTTACAATATCCCCATCGTGAGTCTTGAGGGCCTTCACGGCCTTGCTTCTCGACACCCCAGCCTGTGTCATCACCAAATCTATGTCTCTGGGCTCAACCCCAGATTCATCAACCTCTTCCTCTTCCTCCTCCTCCGCCAGTGCTCCTCCAGCTGCAGCGCCACCAGAAATGTCTGATTTCCCCATCACATGTCCCATGTCTGGCATCTTGAATTGCTGCGCAGCTTGTGTCTGCAACTGAGAACTCAAATCCTCTATCTTCGCCTCTCCGAATATCACATACGTCTCGGAGTTTGGACTTTTGAACACGTCCGGTTTCGATATGAAAAACAATATCTGAAACCATTGAATTGAAACATATAGTTTAGAGAGATATATGTTTAAATGGTGGGATCCAACTCAAACTTACGTTTTTTGTTCTTTTGATGGTGACTCTGCTGACCCCAGTAACTGGTTTCATGCCCAGCTTCAGCATAGCCTTGCGACTCTTCTTTTCACTCCTGCTCTGCTTTGAACTCTCATTCGAACCTGCAGTCATACCATAAAGAAATGTTAACTGTGTTACAGCAGTCACATTCAATCATCTGAAGCCTGCAACGAAAAACTAGTACTCTTAGAAGAACAAACTTTATAGAACTTGGGTACCACTAAGTTTAAATTGATAATGAAGGTTGAAGCAGGGGTCAAAAAGTTAGTAGCATGAAAATCATTCATTTACTAACAGAAGAATAACCATAACCATGTTAAAACTCTATTTAAACTACAAAACACATTATTAGTTCATCACAAGGTTCGAACTTGAGACCTCTATATCAAATATGATTAAAAGACCTCAAGTCTTTGCTAATTGGACTGGARCACCTAGAAATGAGATTACAATGCTTATAATAAAAAAAAATGTCGTGGATGAGAAGGATGAGAAAATTAACCAACCGAGGCCAAGAGCCCCGTTCTCCTTTCCCTCCTCATCATCATCCTCATCGTTATCTTCATCATCTTCGTCATCCTCCACATCTTCGACAATCGGCTTGTCATCGCACTGCAAAAATTGTCGAATTGTCATCGCACTGCAAAAATGAATTGAGGAAAGATTAAAATGAAATGAGGGAAACACAAAGTTGGGGATAGGAATTTGGAGAACCTCAAGTTTCTTCTCTAATTCGGCTGCAGAAGAGAGTTGGTGGCTCTCCTTCTCAGGCTCGATGGACTCAACAATTGGAGCAGGTGTCATTGTTCCCTTTATGGTTTGCGCCTGCTGGTTAAAGCCATTGGATAAATAGATGGACGAAAGATAATGGCACAAAACAACGGCTTTCAAGCCCGCTTATGCTCGACCTTATTAAAACTGTGAAAACGGTGAGGTTTAAACTCATTTCCTCTAAATTYTTTTAAATTTTTTTGCCCTTTCGAACCAGTAAGTAAAGCTATGATAGTTTTGATTATCTATAATCTTAGTACATCACTAACTAACTTATATTTTGATTAACTATAATGTTAGTGTACTATTGATTAACTATAATATTAGTAAATCTCTTATTAACCTATAGATGGAATAATGTCAATTATAAGATTTTAGGTTTTCTATATTCACAAATAATTTTTAGTCGTCAATCTTTTAATATTTATGTAAAATATGGTAGCATTGTAATTATTTTATTTTTAAAGTCTTGTTTTCTTGTATTTTACTTTATTTTTTTTTCTCTTTTAAATTTCTTGTTTACTTTATTGAATTCTTCCCAGAAGACGAAACTAATTTTCGTGCAATCACACCTCAAAGTTTATCCTAATCACTTTCCTGCTATTCAAAACCCTAATTTAAAAAAAAAAAAAAAAAACCACATGAGATAAAACACAATCCAAAATTTAGAACCGTGGAGACATAAAACATTACAAATCCTCCAACTTTTAGAAACTCAATTTCATAACGAAACAGTCCAAAAATGTAAACTTTTAGAACTAAAATCTCATGAAAAAAGCTGAATTACTCAGAAAATTCCAATGCCAAAATCTCATAAAAGGTAAAAACATTGCACTCACCTGGGAAATGTGTGGTGTAGCAGATTGAGAGAGAGAAGGGTGGCGGTGGTGGGTGCTTCCTTAGCGTTACGCCATTGTTTGGCCTGTTGATTCTCTAATAGGGTAAAAACTGGTGAGGTGTTTAACAAAACTTCGAGATTAAAAAGGAAGAATACCAAAATCTTTGACTACAAGACTTAGTCAAAAAAAATTAAAAAAAGAAAAAACTAATTTTTTATTTTTTATATATATATAATTTTTCATTAAAAATACACAAATGTTTCTAGTTATTTATTATTATTATTATTATTATTATTATTATTATTATTTTGTTATCTTTTCTTTCTACACTTACTAATAAAATTGAATTGGATCAAATACACTATCTACAACAATTAATTTCTATTAGGACTTGTTTATCAGTTAGTTAAATAACTCAATTATTCTTGTTAGTGTAACTGTTTTATCATGGCCTATATATATGGCCTTATTCCTTTAATAAAGGTTATGAAAGTTTTAAGGTACTCTCTAGTTTCAATATGGTATCGGTCGACACGTGGGTTTGAGAGTGTTTGACTCGTTTGGCGGTTTCTTCGGGGTGGTTTCTTCTCTCCACGCCATCTGTTTTCTTTAGTCTTCAATGGCGGACGACGACTCCCTTAATCCCACCGCTGCTTTACCTACTTTTCTCCATCCGCCCGCTATTRAACAGTATGCCAACCCTTACTTCTTGCATCACTCCAACAATACCAGTCTCGTTCTGGTTTCTGATCCCTTAACGGATGAAAATTACACCTCTTGGAGCCGGTCGATGATTATTGCCCTCACAGTGAAGAACAAAGTAGGTTTCGTCGATGGATCTATCGCCCGGCCTACTGGTGATTCTCTTCACTCTTGGATTATATGCAATAACATCGTCATTGCTTGGATCTTGAATTCACTCGCAAAAGAAATTTCTGCGAGCGTTCTGTTTTCGAATTCAGCGCGCGAAATCTGGCTTGATTTGAAGGAGCGTTTTCAGCGCCAAAATCGTCCTCGCATTTTTCAATTGCGTCGTGATCTTTCTAATCTTATGCAAGATCAATTATTGGTGAGTGCTTATTTCACACGCCTTAAGACCTTGTGGACCGAACTCAGTTCTTATCGTCCTACTTGCACTTGTGGTCGCTGCACCTGTGGTGGCGTTAAGGAAATTCTTGCTTTTCAACAACAAGAGCACGTCATGTGTTTTCTCATGGGATTGAATGAATCTTTTAGTCAATTAAGAGGACAATTGTTGCTTATGGAGCCAGAACCATCAATTAACCGTGCCTTCTCCTTGGTTGCGCAAGAGGCACAACAGCGTGCGATCATTGCCCCTGTCTTTGCTTCTCCTTCTGCACTTATGGTTCGCAATACATCGTTACCTGCTGGAACTACTCGATCCAGTTCGTCACCGTCTTTTTCGTCGCAATCTAAGCGAAAAGACAAGGCTGTTTGCACACATTGTGGCCTCATTGGTCATACTGTTGATCGGTGTTATAAGTTGCACGGATATCCCCTGGGCTATCGCACATCAGCCAATCGCAACAATTCATCTTCACATCGGAATACCAGTGATTCCACCAAGGCTATGGATTCTTCCAATTCTTCAAGTCTTCCTCATTCTTTGGCCTCTCTCAGTGCTGACCAATGCSAAGGCTTACTCTCTTTGTTGCAGTCTCATTTGACCAAGGTTCAGCCTACCACAGTTGCAGACCCTGGACAATCTCATGTTGCAGGTATCTGGTTTGATTCTCCTTACTCATCTCAGTTGATAAATCGATGGGTTGTTGATTCGGGTGCTTCTGCTCACATCTGTTTTAATYGTGATCTCTTCAATACAATTAAATTTGTTTCTGGAATTACTCTCTCTTTGTCGAATCAGTCCAGTATTGCAGTGGATTATATTGGGGATGTTCAGTTGAATTCTGATATTTTGCTACACAAGGTGCTTTATGTGCCAACTTTCAAGTTTAACYTCCTCTCTGTTAGTACATTAACGGCTGATTCTTCTATCTCCGTTTTGTTTTCTGATAATTGTTGCGTTCTTCAGGCCAAGTCRCCTTTGAAGATGATTGGCAGAGCTGAAATTTGGCATGGTCTTTATCTTCTCGAAAGTGCACCATCTGTCACTGATATAAGTACCCCTACTGTTTGTAATTCAGTTTGTAATGATGTTTCTGTTTACCATACTTGGCATGCTAGGCTTGGACACCCATCCCCAAAACATCTTCTTGCTTTGAAGCATATYTTACACATTGATTCTGTTCCCCAACGTGTATTTGATGATCCATGTGGAATATGTCCTCTAGCTAAACAGAAACGTCTTCGTTTTGATTCCCACAATAATATGACATCTCATTYTTTTGATTTGGTCCATTGTGATGTGTGGGGCCCTTTTGCTTCCTTGTCTCATGCTGGTTATAGATACTTCTTGACTTTAATGGATGACTTTTCCGGTTATACATGGACATTTTTAATGAAGCAAAAGTCTGATGCCTTGACCATTGTTCCTCGGTTTTTCACACTTGTTGAGACTCAATTTGGAAAAGTTATCAAGTGCTTCCGTTCGGACAATGCCCYTGAGTTATCCTTCACAGAATTTTTTCATTCCAAAGGGGTTCTTCATCAGTTTTCTTGCGTTGGCCGCCTTGAACAAAACTCCGTTGTTGAACGCAAACACCAACATTTGCTCAATGTAGCTCGTTCCTTTCTGTTTCAATCTCGTGTACCTATCACATTCTAGGGCGAATGTGTTCTTACTGCATCTTATTTGATTAATCGCACTCCCTCACATGTCCTTAGCTGGTCTACACCATTTGCTAAGCTTTATGGCAAAAGTGCTGATTATTCTCTCTTAAAGGTCTTTGGTTGCCTMTGCTTTGCATCTACATCACCTGCACATCGTTCTAAGTTTCATCCCCGCGCAATTCCAGCCGTTTTTGCTGGATACCCTCCTGGTGTGAAGGGTTTTCGCCTTTTTGACATTGAGCATAGTCGATTCTTTGTATCTCGGGATGTAATTTTCCATGAAAAGGTTTTTCCTTTTCATACGTTGAAGCACAGTGATATTGCAGACCCCTTCTCTGATGTTGTGTTGCCCACACCTATTGGTTATTCTGGTTCCTATCCTACAGTACCTATTGGTGTTTCTTTATCTGCCTCTGTTGGTACTCAACYGGCACCTTTTACTGTTAATGTTGCTCCTGAACATTTTGATGTTGCTCATGAACATTTTGATAATGGACTTGTTGCTTCTGATATTGTATCCCCTGAATCTGGGACTCCAACTCCACGTCCTACACAGGGTTTAGTTCATGATCATTCATATCCAGTCTTTGATGGCTTGCATGGTACTGATGTTGGTTCTTCTATTGTTAGGTCTGAAACTGAAATTACTAATGAGACTGCTGCCTCTCATGAGACTGCCCCTATTGTTCGTCGTTCTTGCCGACAAATTAAACGGCCTTCTTATTTGCAAGACTRTCATTGTGGCCTTATCAGTACTACTAGTCCTTCCACTTCCTCGGTTACGTATCCTTTGCAGCAACACTTGGCCTATGACAAATTGTCTCCTGTCTACAGACATTTTGTCTTAAATATATCCACTTCCTATGAGCCTCAGTTCTATCATCAAGCGGTTCCTTTTTCACATTGGCGTGATGCTATGAGTGTTGAGTTACAAGCCATGGAAGACAACAATACTTGGTCTATAGTCCCCTTAYCCTCGGGTCAGCATTCCATAGGYTGCAAATGGGTGTACAAGATTAAACACAAGTCTGATGGGTCGATTGATCGTTACAAGGCTCSYTTGGTTGCCAAAGGCTACACTCAACAGGAAGGACTAGATTATATTGAAACGTTTTCTCCTGTGGCCAAAATGGTTACTGTGAAGGTACTTCTAACTTTTGCTGTCTCTTTTAATTGGCCACTTATCCAACTTGACGTTAACAATGCCTTCCTTCATGGTGACTTACATGAGGAAGTTTATATGGATTTACTTCTTGGGTATAAGCATGCTAAGATATCTCCTCAGGGGGAGCGTTATGTTTGTCGTCTTCATAAGTCGATTTATGGCCTTAAGCAAGCCTCTCGCCAATGGTTTGACAAGTTTACTCATGCTCTTTTGCTTCTTGGTTTCTCTCAAACCAAGTCGAATTATTCGTTGTTTGTTCGTGGCTCGAGTTCTTCTTTTGTTGCACTTCTTCTTTATGTGGATGATATAATCATCACAGGGGCATCTTCTTCTTTTATTACTACCTTAAAAGTGCATCTTAACAGTGTTTTCAAGCTTAAGGATTTGGGACCCTTGCGTTATTTTTTGGGACTTGAATTGGCAAGGTCTTCTGCTGGTTTATTTATTTCCCAAAGGCATTATACTCTTCAGCTCTTGGAGGATACGGGTTTCTTGGCTTCTAAGCCGTGTTCTGTTCCATTGGATCCTAATATGAGATTGTCCAATTCTGATGGTTCGTTGCTTGAAGATCCTTCTGAATATCGACGTCTTATCGGGCGCCTTTTGTATCTCACAATATCTCGTCCTGATATTACGTTTGCTGTACACAAGCTCAGTCAGTATGTTTCTGCCCCTCGTCATCCACATCTTGCTGCCGTCTACTTTTTACTTAGGTACTTGAAAGGTTGTCCTGGACAAGGTATTTTGCTGCCTCCTTCCAAGACTTTTCAACTTCGTGCCTTTGCAGATGCCGACTGGGGTTCTTGTTTAGACTCTCGGAAGTCTACGACTGGATATTGTGTATTCTTGGGTGATTCGCTTGTTTCTTGGAAAGCGAAGAAACAGAGCACGGTTTCAAGATCGTCTGCTGAAGCAGAATATAGAGCCCTTGCTACCACTGTTAGTGAACTTGTCTGGATTTCCTATCTCTTGAAGGATTTAAAGGTCTCGGTTCAGTCTCCTGTACTTTTATTTTGTGATAATCAGGCTGCGATTCATCTTGCCTCTAATCCTTCCTTTCACGAGCGTACAAAGCATATTGAATTGGATTGTCACTTTATTCGTGATAAAATTGTGGATGGTACTATCAAGCTTCTGCCGGTTCGAACAGATTTGCAGCTGGCAGACATTTT